AAAAAGAAGCAAACTGCCAGACTCAAAATACTAAGAGAAATAAAAAACAAAACATAGCCATTTTAAACCAAAATCCAGCCTATTCGGACCAAATTTTTCTTAAAACCAATAGATAGATGGCTGGACATCGTAGAAATCCCATTTATTTCAAGTCCCCTTTCTCAGACTGTCAAGAATCCTAAGGGAGAAGACTTCAAGACTAAGATTCGTGCTATGCTTTTCATCACCCTTGTTGTTTTTATCTGTAAATGCAGAGTGCTAACCCATGGCAGCTTTATTCCCACTTGCATCTTGTTGCTTCCCACAAGGAGAGAACATTGCACCAAGAAACAATTACCAGGACAACTTAGATAGGGATGCCAATAAAATTCTTTCTGAGCTGGAATGCAGAGGACACCAGTGTTCTCAGAGGCATCCAAGAGAGAAACATCACCAAGATGCCTCAGCTTCCCAAAGCCCCATGTGAAATAAGGCAGCTTACCTTTCCTTGCCCCCTCAGCCTCAGCTTCACCCTGTAGGTATTTCCAACCTTATTTTTCTCTGCCCACATATGCTGTCAAGTAAGTCAACAGCCAGCTGCTAAAATATGGGCTGAACTACAGAGCAGGCTCTGGTAAAGTTGAGCAATAACCAGTGCCAGCCCCTCGGTCCTCAAATCCACAGGGATACCAGGCCCAGTTGTGACAGCTCTGGATATTCATACATTTATCTGCTGCAACTGTGACTTGAGAAAAAGTCTATCTGTTTCTGTGTCAACATTATATAGGGCTCAGACAGCTGGGCTTGGAGCCAGCAAGGCCAGCGCCTCTCTTCTCATGTACTCTTTCCTGAGAGTTATTTAAAAATGAAAAGTTTCTTCCGGTTTCATATTCCATGCACCTCAGCATTTGATTTAATAAGACATACTTATAAATGAAGACGTATCAATCATTGTGTATTCTGAAGGGAGAAAAGAGGTTAGGTTGTGATTAGAGATGACACAGTCTCTTATTTGTCAGTGACACCTATGAGACTCAGTGTCCAGATCCTTAAGCCCTTGCTTTTCATCACTGATTTAATGAGCAAAGTGAAGTCTGACCATGTGCATGAATCTTGAAAAGTAGTGTATGCATGAATATGTATTCTGGGGCAACCAGGCTTACCTGCAGAATGACTGGTGGCCTAATGGGCTATAAGAAGATGAGTTTCATTCATGACAAAGTGCATAGCTTGTGGCATATAGGAGAGGACTGTATAGGTGACACAGGACATTACATGGTAGAAGTCCTGTGTGAACTAATTTAACAGGCTTGCAATCAGTTGGAAAACTGTGTTACCTGACTGCCTGTGCTTTGCCAACAATTCCTTGTATTAGCATTTGCAATGCCCTGCAAGAGCCTGGAGCATTATCTGACTCATCTAAAAATTAAGATGTGCCTAGGAAAGGTTTAATACTGTTACATAAAAAAAAATTTTTTTTAATTTTTAAATAAATAAATAAAAAATACTGTTGCATGTCAGTTAGTTGGAACTACATTAAATCCACACTTATATGTGTTCTTCAGAATAATGGGCTGATCAAAATATGCTACTACCAACCAGTGTATTTTCCTTCCATGCCTGATCAGAATTATCAACCACAGGGAAACAAGGTCCAGTTCCATCAGTGTAAACCATCTGCTTGTACCACAAAGAGGCGATGGATGCTCTGTGGTGTCTTCTTGAGAGAAAAGCTGCTAGGTGAATAAAACAGAATCAAGCCCCGTGGTTCTCAGATGCTAGTATGCATCAGAATCACTTATAAGGTTTGTTCGATATTTTTGACCTCAGTTACTGAGTTTCTAATTCAGTAGACCTGGAGTGAGGCCCAAGAATTTGCATCTATAGCCGATTCCTGAACATATATGTAGGTTTGCCACTGTTGTTCTAAGTGAAGCTGCTGCAGGTAGGATCTCACTTGGAGAATCATTGATCTATTCTAACTGATGAGAGGACAGTATATTTTGAAGGATTCCCTCAATAGTGTAGTGTCTGATTCTAACAGGATGCTTCTGAGAGTGCTTTCAGGTAGCCAATTCAGCAAGGGTCATTCTATATTCTATATTCTATATTCTATATTCTATATTCTATATTCTATGGGTCAGCATGTGGCATTTGAAGTTCAGAACACCTTCTGAATTGCAAATATTTATTCCACTCAATTACCAATTACTGAACATGTAGGTAATTTCTAAAGGTCAAAAATGACTCTAATGTACTGACCTAAAGCAAGTCCACATTTGTCTTAGGCAGAAAAAAATTGTTTAGGTTGATGTACTACTGTCCATGTGACATGTGAATACACATGCACAGCCTGAGCCTTCTCACCTATAATCAGGTAGCACATAATTGTAAATTTCAGTTCTGTGTGTGGCAGTTAGCCTAGTCCTGTGTACTTGGCCTCCAGAGAGCAAGATTAACTTCTCTGCCTTCACCTATGTACTCTGAGATTGTATGTGTAAAATTATCTTGCTTGTGATCTGTAGGTGTTTAAATCTCAGAATGACACCTAGGAATATACACAACCTCTGACAACTGCAGTGCACACAGAATTCTAGAACACCAAGGCTGTTCTACATCCAAGCTTGCCCCTCCAAGGCTCTCGGTGGAAATTTCCACATATCTGAAGTCCAAAGGAAGGGCGGGCAGAGGAAGAGAGGTTTCACCCCTGTGCCATTCTTCTCTCTGTGCCTCTCGGTCAGTTCTAGGCATGCCAGACACAGTGGAAGAGATGTGCCCTGACATCCCCCAGCTGGACGGCCTCATGAAGGAAATCAGTGAGCTGGCCGAGTCGGGAGCCCGGTATGCAGAGATGCCCCATGTCATTGAGGTGGTCCTGCCCATGCTCTGCAACTACCTGTCCTACTGGTGGGAGCGGGGGCCAGAGAACCTGCCTCCCAGCCCAGGGCCCTGCTGCACCAAGGTCACCTCTGCACACCTCAGCCTCATCCTGGGCGACATCCTGAAGATCATCAACAACAACCTAGGCATTGATGAGGCCTCTTGGATGAAGCGGATTGCAGGTACCAGAGCCTTTTCTCCCCAGGCCCTGCCCCAGAACAACTAGCCAGACTCTCTGCATCCCGCTTTAATACCATGATGGTTTTCATCAAGCTCTGTTCTATCTTCAAAACTCCCTGTTCCGTAACAGTAAACAGCAGTGGCATGTTCCCCTGGAGCAGTTCCTGAAGCAGACGCTCTTGCTCTACTTCCCTGCCAACCTAGCCCCCTAGAGTCTCCAGGAAACCTTCTTGACCAACTCCCCTCCATCCTAGTGGCCATTGTCATCCCTTTTCACTTTCCACATTTATAAAACTCTCCCATCTCAAGACACTCAGGCTGGCCTTGAAGTTGCAATCCTCCTGCCTCAGCCTTCCAAGTAGCTATATAATATAGATGTGTGCCACCATGAAAATTCATAGGTTTCTGACAACAACAAATAGATTGTTTTTCAAAGTTTGTTCTTTTTTGCAATTGCTTCAGGAATGGAAAATTGGCTAATAGCATTCCTTAAAAGCCTACCATATGCAGGAACTTATAGAAGGATAGAAAGAAAAGCAGTGAGCAAACTACTGCTACCATGAGCCCACATTAGAGCCTGCACTGAGACCAAAGTTACACGTATCTTTGGTTGTGGTGGCTACTAAATAATGTTGGCCTCTGTGGGCAGATGAGTAACTAAAATAAATGTCTCTTCCTACCCATTAGCTTTAAATAACATCATTAACCATAAGGCAGCTTTTTAGAGGAGATTCACTGTGTGTGGATCCACAAATTCACTTCCTGAATCAAAGGAAGGCAGAGGATCAAACCAGCAATTTTTTAAAAAACCAGAAATCAAACTCAGGACCTTGTGCTTGCCAGGCAGGTGCTTATACCACTGAGCTATCTCCCCAGCATTTTTTAAAAACCTTTGGCATTTTCATTCAAATATTTATTTTATCTCTTACAATACCAGGGATTGAACTAGGGACCTTTTATTTGCCAGGCATGCACTTAATCCCCTGAGCTCTGTCCCCAGCCCAGCCATTTGTCTCTGCAGAGGAAACCTGTCACTGTGAGAGGCACTGAAATTGAACTTTGGTCTCTTATTGCCAAGGCAGATCCAGGTCTCATTCAGTTGGGGAATTTAATTCCTGGTTTCTCCACTAAGCCAATTGTAAATCAATGAGGGCTGACCAGCCACAACTTCTCAGTTAACGTATCTCTTAGAAAGCTCCCTTAACTCTTTCTAAAACTTCCTTTTTTTTTAAAAAAAAAAAAAAAGGAAAAAAGAATTTTTAGAAGTTACTGGAATGTAGGCTGTTTCCAGTCAAAATGCCCAAAGCTGTAAGAACTTTGAAATATACAATACACACTTAAGTGTACATGACTTGGTTCGTGGTTCCTGACTCTTTTCATGGTGGGGGATGGGATGGGGCAGGATGAGGGAGGGGTCCTGGGGATTGACTCAGGGCCTTCGCGCTGTGCTGCATTTCCAGCCCCAGCTAAACTGCTAGGCTTCAGCCCCCCAGAGTGTTGGGATTAGTGGTGTGTACCATTGTGCTTGGCTATAACTCAATGTATTTTACTTTTTTCTTCTAATTCCTCTTATTTCTATCTTCAAAATATCCTACTACATTGGTTTATTTCATACTAATATAATCACTAATCTGATCCATAAGACATAAGAAATACAGAAAGGCATACAGGTTTCCTCTTTCTCTCTGGGAAAGGCCAAAACGTTAGCCCCACTGATCCCTTATCTCTGCCTTTCCACTTGGAGAGACCCCTCAGCCTCTGCTAATTTTGTCTGATGTCAGTGTTGCCTGCCTCCACGTGGGCCCAGAGGAGCCCAGAGGCGGCAGGCTGGCAGGACTCACAGGTGGAAGACTGGGAACTATGCTTGGGCTGCTCTACGTGTAACAGATTTTTCTATAAAATAATCAGAACATGTATATGTGTACATGTGTGTGTGTACACATAAATACATATATACTAACACTGATTTTTTAATTTTTTCACATTGTTAAGTGGTACGTGGTAACTGTGCCTAGTCATGGGGTGCAGTGTGGCAGTTCAGTCCATGGTCTGAGTATAGTGATCAGATCAGGCCCTGGCCTGCCCACCACCAAACAGAAAACACACACTGAGTGCCTGCTGAGGCGCAACAGCACTGCTTCCAAGGAATGAGGCTTTTTCTAGGGAGGTCACAGATAGTTAGAGAGCCAAACCTGTGTGGGGCCAGAACTGAGGGGAAGCCCTTTGTCTGCAAATGCAGTGTTCGCCCAGCCGATCATCAGCAAAGCCAGGCCTGACCTGCTGCGAAGCCACTTCATCCCTACTCTGGAGAAGTTGAAAAAGAAGGCGGTCAAGACCGTGCAGGAGGAAGAGCAGCTGAAAGCCGATGGCAAAGGGGACACCCAGGAGGCAGAGCTGCTCATCCTGGATGAGTTTGCAGTCCTTTGCAGAGATCTCTATGCCTTCTACCCTATGCTGATCCGCTACGTGGACAACAACAGGTACAGGGAGACCTCAGAAAGCCCACCAACCCCTTCCCAAGGCAAACTTGGGCAATAGAAAGGAATGGAAATGTTGTGTTGTGTTGTGCTGTGCTGTATGAATGGTAAGATGAAGGGAAGTTACAGCTGCCACTCCCAGTCCCCTCATTAATCCTTGGGGTAGGACCAATGGACAGTGCTTTCCCTGGTCAGTGATTCTGTGTGATTGTGGCAGGCAAGATCCAAGCTGCCACAGCACAGAGGGAGTTGGTCAAATAAAGGTAGTGGGGACCTGCTTCTGCCCTGCTGTTGCTCATTCCCACATTTATCCAGGAGCCACGACTTGGCTGTGTGTCAGACCCTGTTCTATCCCTGGAGAACATGAATGGCCAGAATAGACTAGCTCTTTGGCCTGAGCAGCTTCTGGGATTAGGAGAACATGTAAGTAAATTATATAGGAGAAGGTAAGGGGAAGTAGGAGTGCTGAGGTCAGGCAGGATAGTGCTTTCATAACAAGAGTGTTACTGAGGAAGCAACATTTGAGCAAGTGAGATAGGAACACAAAAGTCTGGGGCAAGGCTGTCACAGGGAGAATGATCGGGTGGGACAAGTCCTAAGGAAGGGATGACTTGCAATTCTCAGGGGATCACAAGGGGCCAGAACACAGTAAGAGATGGGAAGGCAGTGGGGGATCCAGGAGAGGCAGTGGGGGATAACAGAGTGAGGATTACCATAGAAAGAGGGCTGGTTTTGACCAGGGCTGCAATTTTGCAAAGTGAGTACCACACAAATGGGTTAGAGAACAGTTACAAAGATTGAAGATACAATATTTTTCTTATTAACTTGCATTAATTGTACATATTAATTGGGTTTAGTTATATTAACACATATTAAGTCCAGCCTCCCTTTATCCATCTTTCTCCTCTCAACCCCTCCCCACCTCTATTAGTCACTGTTCTACATTAATAACCATGCATTTTATGCTAGATGCTAAGAGCAGTGAGGACACTAGAAGCTAATGTGCATGGGCGGGCAAAGGATCAAAAGACAGAAGTTAGTGGTCAAACAGTGAGACACATGAATTTAATATAAGGTTGGGGTGAGCAAGTTATTGGTAATGACCATATAATTTTATTCCAAGGCAGATGGAGATGAAAACAGTGACCTGAAAAGCTATGGTGTTGGGAAAATCACGAACATATTGAAATGATTGAGAACTGAGACTGGTAACATGTTGGGGAGATATTTATGAGACTGAAACTTAGAGCTCAGACAGTGAGAAGGAGTGGCTGAGATTAGGGAGTAGTGGGAGCAACTGATGAGATGAGATTTACAGTGGAGATACTTCATGGCATCTGTCCCTGTCCTGACACACGGGCATCATTCAGGAACAAGTATAGAGAACCCAGGGTGAGAAGCCTGCCCAAGTGGCTGCCCCCTTCCCTCAGGCCTGCTCCCCAACTTCAGTGCTTCAGGGTGGCTAGTCCGAGAACCCCCTCTTGCTCCTCAGCCCTTCCCATTGGCTCCATGTGCCTGAGGTTATATTCATGTCCTCTCTGGATGCAGCTGCATGTCCCAGCTCATGTGCACCTATCCTGTTCTATAGAATTTCAAGCTGAAAGGCCCTCATGTCAAAAGTAAGTGAACTTACATAGTGTCAGGAGTTGGCTGTATAATTTGCTTTGCCTGAGCCCAATATGTTCATTTGCTGTGTGGACTTCAGTTCAGTCGTGTCTCAGTCACTTTCCTGTCCCAAGGAGGAGGAGCCAGGAATCAGGAGGAGAGGTTCACTTTTGACTCACAAGAAGCAGGATGGCAGAAGGGCATAGAGGAGGAAAAGTTCTCCCCACCCATTGAAGCCAGGAAACAGAGTGAGCAGGGGGGAGTCAGAGACAAAGCCCACCCTTCCAGGCCACACACCCAGGGGTCCGCCTCCAGCAGGGCCCCCCTCTTCACAGCAAGTCAGCTATAGCCACCCAAGGCCCAGTCATCTTCTAAGGACATGAGACATTTGGAGGACTTTTAGATCTAAACCATAGCAATCCATAATAAACAATTAAATAATTATTTGAGACATGATGAAGACTTTAGGACTATGATTCTATAAAATCATAAAGGATCTTTACAATATGAGCACAGATATTTCCATTAGATATTAGGATAGGATATTGGAAACACCCTTATCTTCTGTATAGGTCTTGGTGTGTGCTTTCCTCCATAACTGAATATATATTCTTTTCTACACTGGTTCTCACTGTCCACACTTGAGACACTAGCCACAAGGGGGTACCCAAGCTACAGATGTTTCCTGGACCATGATGAATTCAGGGGTCCCTTGACTCCTTCCTCAAAATGAGTCCTAGGAATCAGGAAAGCATTTTAGTTATGATCATTTGTTTGTGAGAAAGAACTCAAGAACTCCAAGTCGAAGAGCTTCATAGGGAAATGGGTAAGTGTGGGGGCACAGAGAAGCCACAGTCTCCCACGTCCCCCAGAGCATCAGTGTGTTTGCCATCCGGGAAGCTCTGAATCTCATTATTCAAGAGATGGTGTTGTCGGTTGGTTTTTACAATGCTGGACACAAAACGCAGGACCTCACTTATGCCAGGCAAGTGCACTACCACTGAGCTACTTCCACAGACCGCATATTTCAAGAGCTTTTATGTAAATTGTATCATGTCGATATGATTAATGTACCATTGGCCATTTGTGACTGTCCCCACAGATATGGTGAGAGCTCCAACCCTCTAGTCCATTATTAGGTAGAACCAGAAGCTCCTCATCTTTCTGGTGAGCAGCCCTCATCTTTCAACCAAGGGCCATCATTAGTGTAAACCAGATACAATGAAGGGTTCATTATGAAAAACAAAAAGGTATCACTATCACTTGAAAGACTGTCATCTTTAGGAATTCTGTATCAGGAGCCAGTAGCACAGACTATATATTTGTATATTTTAACTGTACCATGCTCTATGAAAAGTTTAAAGGCCTAAAATAAACATTTGAGAATACTTAATTTGAAAGTATTCATTCTTGGTATTAAAGGGATGCAGGAATATTTGGAAGAATATTATTGACTTTTTGAATTGTAACCCATGTTGCCATGACACAGAGATTGTTCTGGCAAGTCTCATTTTAGCATTTAGTTACAAAGGTGTTACTTAGGCAAGTGTAGGGGCCAGGGTTTGATCCCTGGAAACAAACGCTGCACCGGCCCCGCTCTCAGTCGTACTAAGCCGGTGACGGAGGCTGGGTATGGTGGCGCACGCCTATAATCCCAGCACGGGAGAGGCAGAAAACAGGAGGACTACCATGAGTCCGAGCTGCATAGTGAAACCCTGTAACAACCAAAACATGCATACATACACATCTACCTACCTACATACATACATACATACATAAACTTCTGTCTATTTAAAATAATTTAATTGAAGTTGCTTATATTTTTAGCATTTTAAA